TCAATAATCTCCTTAACTCATTCAGCTCATTCTCAGTCTTGTGGAACTTGTCAGTTAAGTCCTTTGTATCTGAATTGTTGCTTGGAGAATGTCTTTCAGCAATTAGTGCAGTCTTAACTAATTCAAGTTTAGTTGACAAATCAGCATTAGACAAGATCCACTTTTCCAATTCATCATTATAACTTTTCCGATCTAAACGTCGATTGTTTTCAATCGTTTCTATCTTATGTTCAAATTCCTTCGTAATCCGTTCACTCTTCGTCTTTAATGTTTTGATATGATCCTCATTAAGACAATTTTTGCTATGTAAATTTATGGAATGATCTCTAAGAACCATATAATTCGTTTCTAACTGAACATTCTTCTCTCGCAACTCTTGATTCTCCTTCTTTAGAATATCTGCCATTTAAAAAAAAAAWTGATCAGTTAAGGATCTATGCAGTGAAATCAGATAAAAGAAATATGAACAGTTAAGCTAAAAAAAAATAGAAAAACACAAACACTGAAAAACTCACGCAAAAAATTAGACAATGATCCAAACAAAAATCTAGACACAAACAGTCTAAGAAACTAAAAACAGTTAAAAAAAATCCAAGTTCAAAGAATTCTAGATACAAGCCCAAAGCAACCAATACAGATATCCACAATTGATCAGCACAAGGAAGTAAACCAAATATGCTCAAAACAGTTCACTGTGCAGCTTGAGCTTTCACTGGAGAATGTCCACAGTTGCTGCTCTCGCACTTGAGCTGCTATTGTATAACTTGCAGTTCACTGTTGTTCCAGTCTTGTGTTGCTGAAATATGTGCTGAGGTTGAACCTGTTGATGTCCTCTTGTTGCTACTTCTGTTTCAAAACAATTTTCAAATCTGCTGTTGATACCTTTGATGAACCTGCTGCTGCTTGCTTATTTCTTGTTGCAGGCTGTTGCTGTTGCTGAATAAGCTGCTGTCTGGTTTAAAAACTGTTGCTGCTTCCTGCTCTTGCTGTTAAGACCTGCAACCTGTTCACTGCTGTGAAGTTGCTGCTATATCACTTGCTTTTGCTGCTGCTGCTGTGATCTTCAAGTTCAAAATGCAAACCTTTCTTCTGTATGAACAGCTGCTGCTGCTGCTGTTGCTATGAACTTGCTGTTAAGAACTGTTGTGTAGTTGCTGTCATAAAACCATCACAACACAGCTCAAAACCTGTTAAACATTTTCTTTCAAAACTGTGTTCTTTCAAGCTGTTGCTGTCAAAAGTTTCTTTCTTCTTGAACCAACACTGCTGCTGTATAGTTTCTAAAACAGCCTCCAAACTTGCTGTTTTGTTCTTGCTGCTCAAATAATAGTGAAACTTTAAACCTACAAGTCTTGCTGCTGTGAAGCTGTTTCAAATATGTGTTTCTGTGTTGCTGTGTTACCTACTGCTGTTGCTGTTATTTTAAGAACCTCCTGTCCAAACTCAGGTTTTCACAATGCTGTTTATAATCACAACACAGCACAGGCACAACACAGCTTAACACAAACACAACACAAACACAACACAGCACAGCACGCACAACACACACTGTTGAACAATAACTGGTTTGATGCTATTGCACTGTTTAAATCAATCTGCTTTCTGCACACTGTTAACTGTTTCTTCAACCTGTTTCACCACACAAACAGCCTTTAACAAGATCCAAACTATGAACAGCCGCTACTGTCAGCAAATCCTTCTTCTGTCATGATTAAAAGCAACATTCACCAGACTTGATTAAAAGGATCAAAACATGATTTATAAACTACTCAAAACAGCCTCTGAAATTGACAGAACCTGTACAGAACCTGTGTGTGCATACTATAGCAAAATGACCAAGACAGAACTGTGTATGGTTTGTGTATAACACAGCTACTGTTTCTGATTCAGTCCACAGTGTGAAAATTAACAGCCAAATTTCACACCTAGAATGCTGTTCTAGTTCACAAAACACAGCCAAATCTCATATTAGTGAAGCTACTGCTGTTACACCTTGCTGTTTTGTTCTTGTTCACACTTCTAACAAAACCTGCACTGTTTCATTCAATTAAATGCACATTACACAGTCAACTAAATCAACAGCATCAATTATGTGCATTTTAATTGTATATGTTTCTGCTTCAAATCACACACACACACACACACAGAAAACAGGCTGTCAAGATCTGCTAGCTTAAAAAA